AACACATGATCCTTAGGGTGAAAAAAGTAACACAGCAAACAAATTGCAAGCAATAATTTTTGTTTAGCGTAATAAAATTTATCTGCTCATTCTCAGAACAGGTTTATCTGCTCATTCTTAGAGCATCTAGAGATGGCTCCTCGAGCTAAACTCTTCCTCCCATACCTGAAGTAATCGAAGCATCCAATCAACTCAGCCAAGAGGCAAGAGAAAAATAAAATAAATGGATGCTGAATAACTGTGTCATCAATAACTCGGTACAGAACTACATTTAATTTCACTTTTTCTTTTCTTCCTTTTATGCTCTAAGTCCCAATTCAGATTCAATGACTGTAAGCACTACTTATGCTATATTGGGAAGGAGGCATTCTGAGAGACTTTTTCACACCCCTTATCTTACTGAATGTAGAATCAGAAGATGTGTGGTTCAGGGTTCTCTCACTTAATCATGTGGCCTTGAGTAAGTTTGTCAAAAGGACGGCTCAAAGTTAACAAACTTGACCTTGATCACAAAACTATGTGGCAGAGCCAAGATTCAAACTGAAGTCTTCTCATTTCGGGGTGCCTGGGTGGCTCAGTCAGTTAAGTATTTGACTCTTGGTTTCAGCTCAGGTCATGATCTCAGGGTCATGAGATCGAGCCCCACATTGGGCTCCACACTGGGCAGGGAGTCTACTAGAGATCCTCTCCCCCTCCCTTTCTCTGCCCCTCCTCCTGCTTATGTGCTCATATTCTCTCTCTCTCTCTCAAATAAAAAAATCTTAAACAAAACAAACAAAAAAACTGAAGTCTTCTCATTTCAATCTGGTGTTTTTACTATTTTATCAGCATGGGCCAAAAACACATACTAGAGAGTAAGGAGAACTCAAAAATACTTCTCTCGAGATACTAACTTTACTATATGCTACTGATAAATGTAATGAAGAAAAGAAAACAGGGCGCCTGGGTGGCTCAGTTGGTTAAGCCTTCGTCTGCCTTCGGCTCAGGTCATGATCCCAGGGTCCTTGGATGGAGCCCCACGTTGGGCTCCCTACTCAACAGGGAGTCAGCTTCTTGCCCTCCCTCTGCTGCTCCCCCTGCTTGTGCACTCTCTAATAAACACATAAAATCTTTTAAGAGAGAGAGAGAGAGAAAGAAAGAAAAGAAAAAGAAAGAAAGAAACAAACAAACAAACAGAGGCAGAACCTTAGCCTGAAAGGCAGGGATGAGGGACAGCCAAGTCAAGAATTTAAAAAGAGCAGTAAGCCGTAATGCTGGATCTCAACACAGGTTTCTGTAACTGATGGTCCCACAGTACCCTCTGAAAGTGAATTTAGTTTGGGTAGGTAAATACTATAACTCAACACAGAATAGGCTGCAGAGGAATTCTGTCTTCTGTCTGATTCACAATGGCTAAAGGACAAAGCGCTGTCCTCCCTTATAACACACCACCTTGAAAGAGAAAGCTCTACATCAGTTTCCTCCTGAGGGAATGAAATGGCAGGAGCCCCTCAAATTTACTGAGTCCCATGAATCCACACAACTGAGCACTTTGATCTTTGACAAGATCTTAGTGCCAAGCACTAACACGATCACTCTTTCTTTTTCGTATTTCTCCTCCAAGTTTTTTTCACTATATTCATTTGATCCTTTTTCATGTGCCTATGGACTATTTTATTTGTCTCTTTCAAAACTGATTTTACTTTTGGCAGAACTGCTTTATAGCTACAGAGGAAGAAAAAATTCTTTCTGTGGGTAAATGAAGGAAAAATTGGAAGAAAAAGTTAAAGGTTGGGGAGCCTGGGTGGCTCAGTCAGTTGGGTGTCCAACTCTTGGTTTCAGCTTAGGTCGTGGACTCAGGGTCATGGGGTCAAGCCCCACATCAAGCTTTCCCTCCCCCTCTACTCCTCCCCCCCCCCACTGGCACTCTCTATCAAATAAATAAATAAAATCTTTAAAAAAAAAAAAGTTAAAGGTTAATTACTCTACCACCCCCTGCCATATTTTAAAATTAAAGTAATCTAGGGGTACCTGGGTGGCTCAGTTGGTTATGCATCTGAACTCATCTCAGGTCATTATCTCAGGGGCCTGGGATGCAGCCCGCCCCACTGTCATATCAGGCTCCATGCTCAGTGGGAAGTCTGCTTGTCCCTCTGCCCCTCCCTCCAGCTCCTACTCTCTCTCTAACAAATAAAATCTTAAAAACTAAATAAATTAATCAAACTAAATTAAATCAAAGTAAAATAGTTTTGGTAAAGAGAAAAGGAACAAATAGAGTTTCGGGGGTGGGGGGTGCCATTCAATGCTGCTTTTATGGGAGATGATCTTACAGCAAGCACTCTAAAACGGAGAACCAGGCAAGATTACTGTCATGGTAAGAACCATACATATGAGCTCAGATGCAGACAAAGGTCAATACATGTACAAGTATTTACTGAGCACCTACTAGGCCAGGCCAGTTCAATAATTATGTGACCACTATCATCTGTTATCTTTGAAAAAAAATCCAATTGTCAGGGCACACAAAGAGCTAACAAATCAAATTTAAGATGACAGCTATAATGAAACCACCTCATGGCCACTTCAAAGAAAATACCACAGGAAGAAAAAAACTAATCAGTAAGGATTCTAGTCATATCCACAGTGAAAAGAAGACAAAGAATCACCAGCAGCACTCCAGCCCGTCTGTGACCAGGGAAGGGGCAGTGACCACACAGTTACACATCTCCAGGAAGTGTCTGATTATAAACCTAGTTAAAGTACATTCACTGGGTCCAGCTGGAATTATGTGGGACAACTGGTTCCTCTAAAAAGGGTAAAATAGGGGCTCCTGGATGGCTCAGTTGGTTAAGTGTCTAACTTCAGCTCAGGTCATGATCTCAGGGTCCTGGGATAGAGCCCCACATAGGGCTGCTCCCTGCTCAGCAGGGATTCTATTTGTCCCTCTCCCTTTGCCCCTCCCCCTGCTCATGCTCTCCATGTCTCTCAAATAGGTAAATAAAATCTTTTAAAAATTTTTTAATAGAGGGGCGCCTGGGTGGCTCAGTCGTCAAGCGTCTGCCTTCAGCTCAGGTCATGATCCCAGGGTCCTGGGATCGAGCCCTGCATCGGGGTCCCTGCTCCGCAGGAAGTCTGCTTCTCCCTCACCCATTCCCCCTGCTTGTGTTCCCTCTCTCACTGTGTCTCTGTCAAATAAATAAATAAAATCTTCTAAAAAAACTAAAAAAAAATTTTCTAATAGAAAGGGTAAAACAGTATAAAATGACTCCACAAACCTGAAGAGCCACTAATAATTAAATATATTCATTTTAAGCAAATATATCAAAACATATTAAATAATCAGAGTTATGTCTCACATATTTGTTTTAACTTCAACTCTACATTGCTTAAAATCATGTACCTCAACCAGTGACACAAGATAGAAACAGGAGGGAAAGAGCATATAGCAAGTTAACAAAGAATGCCAGGATCAAGTCACTTGTCTTCACTAACAATTTAATGGTCCCATCCATCCATCCATCTTTACTTCCTTCCTTCCTTCCATTAACTTGCTTCGTTCAGCATTAGAGTTTAAGTTTGGAAAGTCACTGCCACAAAGACATAAAAAGCTTGTGGGAATTTTGGAAGACGTTTATAAAACACCACAGGAATTCTCTAAATTTATCTAAAGTCCTGTAAGAAGCCAAATCTAACCACACACGCTCCTTCCCGTACAGCAGGGATTGGCAAACTACGGCCCCTGAGCCAAATCTGGCCCACTGGCCGTTTTTATACAGCCCAGAACCAACAACAGTTCTGACATTTTTAAATGGCTAAAGAAAGAAATCAAAAAAAGGGTAATATCTCCTGACATGTGGAAATTAAATGAAATTCAAATTTTAGTGTCGATTAATAAAGTTTTATTGGTGTACGCCACCTCATTTATTTACATGTTGCCTATGACTTTTGTGCTACAATGGCTGCGCAGAGTAGCTACATGAGGGGGACCATATGAAAGATGATCTGGCCCAAAACATCTACCCAAACCTGCCCTAAAAGTTGCTACTAATTTGCCTTGAAATAACTGGCTTTAGCTATGTACATTTGCAGAAGAGACTCCAGATGGTTTTACTGAATACCATCTGAGCAACAGAATAGAGAAACTGTTTTATCTCATTATAGCTAAGCTAAAAGCAAGCAAATCCCTATGACTTTTTTTTCCAACTATATTCTTTAACAAAGAAAGTAGTCTTTCACCACTTTATTCTTTCTAGTTGGGAAAGAGTTATAAGAATATTACTTGTCTTACTTCCTCTACTACTTAAGAAGCCCAAAATCTTCCACTTACATACAAAGTACACCAGGATATATATCTCAGTGTTCTTTTCCTGAAAGGGACAGAAAATACCATAAAGTGCAAAGCAGTGGCTCATGGTCACTTTTTCACATAATTACCTAAGACTACCTCAATATTACCTCCTTACTTAGAGTAAAATCTTCAATATATTCTCCCTAACTCAAAGCTTTTTGGTAGGAAATTTTTCATACCTACAAAAAATTGAAAGAATAGGTCAATAAGACTTCCTACAAACCTTGCCTAGACTCTCAAGTACATGCTGCCATATTTGTTTCACCCATTTCTCTCTTTTCTAGTAGAAGTAACTGATTCTCTAGAAAATAATCTGTAGACTATCATAACACTTCAACCTAAATACTTTAGCAACCAGTACCAGGATACTAGTTTTCAATACCAGCATATTAATAAGAAAACAGAGGTACAAAACTACAGAGAAGGTATAAAAAAATTTTTTTGAGTTGTTCCCCCCCCCGAACCCCACCCCCCCAGATTAATGAAAATACAGGTAACCTCTGAAATCCCAATAATCCACAAAGTTAACCCTGGGGTGTTAGCTTACTGAGTAGCATAAGAGTAGTCTGACTAATATCATGATTATCAAAAGAGATCAGGACAGCTTAGACTCTCTACCTCCTACGCTCAATGACTGCTCCTTTGCAGGAAAGACCGTATCTCTGGCACTTACCTAAGGGCAGCAGCATGGTATGTGTCAACGTAATCAGAAATGAAGAGCTCTCGGTTCTTGATAACTGGGTCTGTAATGACAAGTTCTCTTCCAGAGTCTGTCAAAATAATTAAGAAGATATTACAATTGAGCCTCCCAAAACAATTAAAAAAATTTTTGCAAAATCTTTCTTTCAGGTTCACCTGCCACTAAAGAAAAGTACAATAAATAACCAGGTCTGGTCAGGAGGAATAATAACAGGAACAAAGTATCCTGTTGGGTATGTTTTACACCTTTTACTAAATCCTCTCATTTTGCTGAAATGCATTAAGCAATTAATGAAAAAAGAAGGGAAAAAAAAGAGGAAACAACTATCACATTTTAACAAACTTATAAACTACTGAAATATTTAGTGATCCTGTCCGTTTTAATTTCTTATTGCTATATATTCCAGAATAGAGTGAAATCACACTGTTTCTGTTGAAAAAAAAAAAAACCAAGTTACTAATTTTAATTAGGAACCATAATTTAACTGTTTTAACAGAAATTTTTATAGTTTCAAAAAAGGAAAAAACTAGTGAGTTATAAATTCACTATAAATTCTTGGGGTGCCTGAGTGGTTCAGTCGGTTAAACATCTGCCTTCAGCTCAGGTCATGGTCCTGGCTACCTGCCTGCTCAGCAGGAGGCCTGCTTTTCTATCTCCCTCTGCCACTCCCCCTGCTTGAGCTCTCTCACTCTCTCAAATAAGTAAATTAATAAATCTTTTTAAAAAAAAAATCATTCTTCAAAACTGTGTTTGATTACTGCTTTGTTGACTCAAAACCTATCACCAAAAGCAGTGTGGACCAGTGGGAAGAGTACAGACATCAGGGCGGAACAAACTGGATCCCAGCCTGGCTGGACCACTTAGAAGACATGTCACCTGGCAACTCCTTGAGCATCTCTGTATCGGTTTCCTCACCTGAAAGTGGGCAATGACAAACTCTAACTTGTATGATTAATGGGTAACAAATGTGAATCAGCTAGCATGAGGCCCAGCACCACTCAAAAAATCAATAAAAATGCACAATTATACATCAGAACAAATGCAATACACATTTTATGTGCATATCTCATGAGTCAATAAAATTACTGAGTAGAAACTACAATGCCAGGGCAAGAAAAAAAAGATGCTCTGAACTACCTTCCTGATTATTCTGAAAGTCAAGATGCAAACTGGGGGCGCCTGGGTGGCTCAGATGGTTAAGCATCTGCCTTCGGCTTGGGTCATGATCCCGGGGTCCTGGGATCGAGCCCCACATCAGGCTCCTGGCTCAGTGGGGAGCCCACTTCTCCCCCTCCCTCTACCTCTCCCCCTGCTCATGCTCTCTCTCTCTCTGTATCTGTGTCTCAAATGAATAAATAAAATCTTAAAAAAAAAGATGCAAACTGAATCCCAAACCACTCAGGAAAGCCATGCTTTCAAAACTGAAGTTCACAGCCCTGAATGCAGAAGTGCAATCATACAGATTATTGAAAAGGAAAAAAGAAATAAAACGTGACCCTAGTGTTTTTTTAAGTATTATTAGTTCATCATCAGGGGAGAAAAAGTAATTTAAAAAATGAAATTGCTGTTATTTCCAAAGAAGACCTATCTCTCTTCCAAGTTTAAGGGGAAGATGCTATTGGCACATCTCTCCGATTGTTTGGGGTTTTTTTTAAAGGCAAAAATAATGAAAGAACTCAGCAAAAGTATATAAATAAACATTTCAGTAATGTCCTTAGTTACAAAAAGTTTTTTCAGAGACAATTTTTCATAGTGGTTATCTCCATTTAATGAGTATCTTTAGAAACAGCCTTGTCCAAAGCTAAGAAAATGTAAAACTCAAACCAGGACATATTTACCATTTTCATTATGCCGATCCTGAACCAAATGCTGGTACACAGAATCTGGAACTTCAGACTGACGGTAGTACCATTTGACGTTCATGAGTAGATGGTCCCTCTTACTCTGAAAAGGAAAATCTAACAGCATTAGGAACAGGATTTCGGGTGCCCACAGCTGTATACCATACCCATGATCAAAAGCCCCTGTAAACAGGTGGAGAGGCAGAGAGGGAGACTCACAGTTATCACCACGACCACAAAAATACATAAGTCAATGAAGAGGTCAAAGATGTTTTTAATCCCAGCCATCATACCCTCTAACCCTATTGCTCAAAACACATCCCTAGAAACCAAAGGAGACCAAACTTGAACCTATAAATCTCCCCAGTTTAACTAATTCATTCAATATTGTGTTATTTAGCATAAACTATACAAAACTACATGAACACATCCTTCTATCTAAATTCTCAGTCATTTTGGTAAATATTTATAAATTGTGTCAGCACAGCGTCAAGGCCACTAAGGGCAATAAGTTAGAAAAACCTTACCCTGCAAGGTCTGGCACGAAGTCATGTCTCCAAGGTGCGCCCATCTCCCAGACTGAACTACGGTCCCTCTACGGTACTGCCCCCGACTTGCAGTAATTGCCACAGTCCAGCTGACACACAGAATGTGGGCCGTGGTGTAAGTACTAGCAATCCATGGAGCAGGGGATCCTATCTTACTTACCTTCAAATTTCCAGAGAATGGAACAACTTGTCCATAAATATTTATGAATAATAAAGTTCTATGATGATCAGGGGCCCCTAAATGTCTGTGGGACACTTAGCCATGTTATCCCCAGAAGTTAACATGGCTCCTGGTTCGTTCAAAGAATAAAGGAGGAAATACTGCCTTTCTATTTGAAGGCTATGGGGCTACAGCCTGAGGGAGACTGTCTCTGTACACCTGGTTGTGAGAGAGCTGAACATGGCAAGTGCACTAAGGCTTCCCAAGGCCTCATAAAATAATTTCTAACCCAGGTGAGGGCCTTAAGAGACCTCCCCAAGGTGAATGCAGTATCATTCCTCTTAGCAGTGTCTACCTTCTCACGACAGGTCGGAGGTGAGTCAGAAATGAATGAGAACTAAAATTCAAGACACATCTCTTGTTTATGAAGGAGGTGACCACGTCTAAAATATGTCAAAGGAGTCTTCCTTAATAAAGTAAGATGCTTTCTGCTTAAATGAGAGATATGTATATAGTCTTCACTAAAAGGCCAGAAAGGCTTCCAAAAAAAACCAACAACAAAAACCTTCACTAAAATACTTAAGCCATTTAAATTACTAGAAATAAAAGAACTGCCAAAAGTCTTGATGAACTCAAATGTGAAGAAGTGCTATTCCAAAGTGAGTATCATCAACACCAGGGTTCATACTTTCTAATTAACTGTGAAAAAAGACAGGCCTACAAAAACAAGGCATCATTATTGCTTTGAATAAAACAGACTATACACAAAGAATAAACCTACATAATGGTACTTTTTAGTTTTTATCCATTTTGCACTTTATATTCTATGCTGTTTATACTAAAGGTAGGACAATCAGGATGAATCAGTGTTATATAAAAAGAATAAATGTTACATGCAAGAGTTTATACACAAGAGCAATTACCCCCTGCAGAGGATTATGAAGGAGGTGACATCCGACCTGGGGGGAAAAAATGGGAAAGATTTCAATGGATCCTTTCTAGGCAAAGGAGACCTGAGGAAGACATAAAAATAGAGAAAAGAGAGAGGAAGCACTAGACATCCCCCCGGTCCATCTGCATGTAGCACAGGAAAACGTTCTGCATGGTATGGAGAGGAACTGGAATCCTGCCTTTAGTGGGTTTTTCTCTGGACAAGTGGGGTCCTCCATCTCTATTGCTGACCAAATACACAGGCAGTGAGGGACAAACACCAGGTGGTGAGAAAGCAACTAAAAGATTACAGTTTCCCCCCAAGGCACAGCAATAAACAGCAGGGCCAGGATGAGGCAAACCAGGGGGAGGGGCAGAGGCTGTTTGGAGGTAACTCAAAGAATAAACTCGCCTAAGTTAATACACTGTCTCATATGAGGGTTCTCACCTTCAGCATTGCTGACATTTGGTCCAGATAAGTCTGTTGTGGGTGCCTATCCTGTGCACTGCTTGATTATTAGCAGCATTCCTGGCCTCCAACCACTAAATGCCAGAGGCACCCCCTCCCTCATTGGGACAACGAAAAAAATGTCTCCACACGTTGCCAAATGTTCCCTGAGGGGAAAAAATTACTCCCCCCACCCCGGTTGAAAACCAGTGGTCTAACAGTTTCTTTTTTAAGGAAAGCTAAACCAGAATGGTGAGAATAAAGCCTGGTTTAAGCACTACCAGAAGGGAACATGGAATGTAGGTAAGAACATGGTAAAGTCTGTCAAAAGTTGGGTTCGAACCCCATCTTCACCACCTCCTAGCTACATGACTGTGGGCGTGTTAGTAAGATATTCTGAGCCTCCCCTTTTCTGTAAAACAGGAATACTGAAACCTACCTAACAGATGACTGAAAGAAGGAGAAAGATGGAAAAGTGTCTGGAACTGAGTAGGCACTCAGTTTTCTGTTAGTAGGTGACCATAACCAGTGCTTCACAGAAAAATTTCAGGAACTTTGCTGAGAACCATAAGAGTTATTTCTTCATGAGAATATGGTTTCTTTCAAGAGATGAGAGATATTCAGTCCCTTAACTACTAATGGATGCCTCAGTGCTCACAGTAATGAACTACTTAACAGGGCTCAAAGGAATTCAGATCTACTAGCAGTCTTAGAAACCGTGTTCTGAAATCTATACTTCCATGTATTTTTTTTTTAACACATCTAAGATGTCTGAAAACCTGAGGGACAACAGAAATAAGCTCTTAAAGGTACCCTAACTGGCAATCATACAATGTCTATTTTTCAGAACCAAGCCAGCAATTCTGGCTACCTTTTGAGGTTTAATATCTATGTTAACTTCTGACTCTCACACACTTAATGATCTCTCACACACACACACACACACACACACACACACACAATTACTGCTCTGGTTTATTTGTATCTAGATTTATGACTCCTAATACCAGAGGCAAGTATATACAAAGGCAGTTGAAAGCCTACTGGATTTCCTAATGCAGTACTACCTAATCACCAGGGAGTGGCAGCATTGCGTTTAAAAAAAGCCTCCAGAATCTTAAGTCCGGATACAACAGAACAAAAGGTAGATTCAAAGTAAACAAGTTTTGAACAAACATTAAGTAGCTGTAACAGACATAATCTTTCAAAACAGGCCTGGAAGTTAAAGATTAAACGTCTATAAAAGGAGGCGGTGTGCTGTTTCAGAGAGTACTAGACTAAAATAATCTAGCCTTCTAGTCCTGTCTGCAATCACTAGTTTGCTGGGGACAACCTCAGTAGAGTCACCTGGCCATCTGACAAATGTAGGGGAGAACAACAGGATTTCTAGAATTGCATTTCATTTTATATGCTTATATCTAGATTTCTTCCCCAGACAAAACCAATAGATAAAGTGGGGTTGGGGGAGAGCCTCCTGTTTTCTCCACATCAACATAATGACATCAGCTAACATTAGCATCCTAAAGAGGTTTTACAAATTAAAAAGCCATCTTTCCTGGAAGCTGCTGTGCAGTGAGGAACAGCAAAGGGGAACAGAGCAGCGCACCCCCTTCTACTGGTTAATGGTCCCAAAGCTGCCTCAGACACACAGGTGCTGCCCAATATTAACCACAGGATATCTTCGTGTTCTTCCCACTGTTCATTAGACAAAGACCGCTGCTCAGAATCAGAGAAAACTGAAAGCAAAAGTAAACTTAGGTATGAATCAGGGTTTTGCAACTGACTTGGGCAAATGACTTCTCCAAGTCTCACTACTCTCATACTGAGGGGAAATAATTCTGCCACATTCAGTTGTGAGGATTAAATAAATTAATATGAGTAAAGTGAACTGGCTCTCAGTAAGTGTTGGATATTACTATCGTACAGATAGTCTACAGATGCAGACAGGAATCAAGCTACAAGAGGTTTACTTATACATTTTGCTTTTCCCAGATTCAAAATTAAGCTGGTAAGAGCAATACAAAAATAAATCATGTAGCAAAGTAGGGGGGAAGAATTTCCACTCTTGCAACAATTTGAGAAGCATATCAAGTATTTTTAATAAATAGGCCTGCCTCATTACCAACTAGTGATATAATTGTACAACTCCATAAAGGTCAAAATGGTTATAAGTGACAACATTTTAAACAGAATGCTGAATAAAGAGGGAAGTGGTGAGAAGCTTCCCATGTGAAGGCACCCTGGGGTATATTTCTGGATACAGAGAAGAGCCCACTGAGAAGTAAATAATTTCCCACCATTTTATCTTTAGAGAGAGAGAGATCTGACGGACTGTACAGGAAGCAGGAAGCACCAGCTCTAAGGAAAAACCACCACACAGGAACGTGTCCAATGTGCTTACAGTAAGGTTTCCAAGGATAACTGTGTAAACAAGTAGAGTAGTTGATCCTGGGTTAAATTAATGGATTCTTCCACATCACTGGCCTGGACTTCTCTGAAAGGAGGGATGTATGTAAATTTAAGGAAATAATTTAATTGAGGACAAAAGCCATCCCTACCTGGGTTTAGAAAAAAGACAAACAGCTTAATATTGGGTGTTTGGGAACAGAACAGGAGGATTTGTAGAGCTATGAATATCAGACAATGGACTGAAAATTAATGAACTAAAAAATCAGAACTGAAATTAAACATTCAGGATGAGGTAACTAACAAAGGTAGACTAGGAGAAAGGGAAGGCAAAGAGGAGGCTGCTGTTGAAGGGACTGGTTCATTTTATCGGCAGCACAGAATTCAACCATCCCAAATAAATATAAGATCCAAGGCCAAGAAGTAAATTTCCCTTCCTAGAGATCTTCATGATTATTAATACAGTAGCTCCACTGATTAAATAGCCAATCTGAATCTTTCCTAAGACCAGTCTTGATATCATCTGAAAAAACATTTTAACATTAAAAAATAAATGAGGGCACCTGGGTGGCTCAGTTGGTTAGGCGACTGCCTTCGGCTCAAGTCATGAT